TTATTCATTATATGGATGATATACTTTGCAGTTGTTCTACTACTTGCAAACTCTCCTTATTAATGCCTGAGCTTTAACAAGCCCTTCAGTCTCATAGCATTATAATTGCCCCTGAAAAGGTACAAATCACCTTTGCTTATTTTAGACATATTGTTTCACAGTCTGCAATTAGACCCCCAAAATATTACAAATTAGGCAAGATTCCTTAAAAAGTCTTAATCATTTTCAAAAAATGTCTTCAAGATATTAATTAGCTTTAGCCTGCCCAGCAGATCACCACTAATCAATTATGTAATCTCTTTACCACCCTCAGACACCTCATCAAGAATATTTCTCCTTAATTTTGGGGGCGTGATATTATACATCAAAGGGGAGCTGTTATTTTCTCCTGCCCCCGCTCCCACCTTGTGCTTCTCCTACCCATAAAGCTGATAAAATACAATGGAAATCTGATAAACCTCTTCGGGTGAAACAGTGGCTTTTGACAAAAGAGAAGCTTTTTGCATTAAAACAATTAGTTGAACACCAACTTTTAGGAGGCTGCCACTTAACTTTTTATTAAGCTTTTATTGAGCTTTTTATTAACTATGTTCTGCCAATACAACCACCTTAATTGTAGGGAGGATAACATTTTATGACTATTTTTCTATATGTAAACTCCTGCAGTATTAGAAACATAGTATAAAAAAATAATATAATTTTTTTGGAATAGGCTGTTCCAAATATATCAATTTTATTAACCCTCCTTCTTTTGCCATGAATCGCAGAGGCTTTTCTCCCAAACATATTTGACAAATGAATGTAACTTATATGACTTCTTTTGAAAAGCTTTCTTATATTCATGTTATAATTGATACTTCTCTTCTTTCATTTTTGCCACTTTACAAGTAAGTGGAACAATTAAATATGTGATCAATCATATTTTACAAGCCTTCGCAGTTAAGGGTGTACTTAAACAAATTAAAATACATAATGCTCCTGCTTACATTAGCAAAATATTTTCTTCCTTTTATTCTTTTTATAACATTTCTCTGATCACAGGCTTTTCTATATAATTAGAAACAAACATATTAAAAGAATTCTTCTTTAAAAGGGGGGGTATCTGGGCTATTATCCCTCATTGACAATTGGCTATTAATTTTTTAATAATATTAACAAAGATGGGTACACTCCAGCCAAAAAACATCTTGAGAAAAATAAACATCCAGAGGCCCAGATCCACTACAAACGAGGGACAAGGGTATGTTTGTATTTTTTCAGAAAACTTTGACAAACCTGTCTGGATACTGGATAAAAATGCCCAAGCGTGTACCACAACTCACAGCTCGAATGCAAAGTATGAGGATTAAGGGAAAGCACAGAAGGAGCCGATCTACAGTGATGAGTTGCCTTCCCACGTGGAGTCAAGTGAAAGTTCCCTCTCATCGAGCAATGGAAGACTCCTGAACTTGTATTTTTAGCAATAGTAGCTTTACTTTCTGCTCAAGTGTGTAATGTGCAGAGTGCACGGCACTACACTTATTTTCCTTTTCCACCCTGGTTGTGACCCCTCACACATGTGGACAAATTGGGACTATATATACTAATATCACCCATATATTCGGAAGTGAAATATCCTTTCTCCACAACAGAGCCAATGTTACAAGTACCCTCAGATCTCTAGCATTCCAGGACACCTACATGTCTTTCAAAATTTAGCAACAATATTGAACCCTGTCTTTTTCTTGTTATATCACTTTTTATACCAGTTTGTCCAATGGATATGTAAATTTTACTCAAGCTAATACTACTTTTGAATAGAATGTTACTTGTGTCAATTGTACTCTCAAACAGTGTATTGATAATAATTACTGTATTGTACTTTCGGTAGAACAATAATCATTTGCTATTTTGCCTACTAACATCTCACATAAATAGTTCCAGAACTCTGGTGAACATGCTCCTCAAATTATTACTTCCTCCTTAAGTCAATCAAAGCAATTTATTGGTCTCCTTATTACTGGTTTAATCATTGTTGCTTCTTTTATTGTATCTACTACTGTTTCATTGTTGTGCTAATCTGAAATTCAAACTGCACCCTTTGTAAATGACTTAGCAAATACAAAACATATAAGCTTAGCTTAAAACAAAGAAGCTATTGACAGAGATATATTGTATAAAGTCAATTTATTAGAGCAATCTGTATTGTATTTAGGAGATGAGTTAGAAACCTTGAAAACAATGTTTATATTGAAATATGATTGTCGCTATTCTTTTATCTGTGTGACTCCCTACGTGTGTTCAAATTTCACTAATGTGACTATTGAACAAATATTGAATAAGCTTCAGGGTGCATGGCACTCTAAAAATGTTACGTGGGAAATTAGCCAGTTATCCAGCATACAACATGAGATAGCTGATTCTCATATTGATGGTACCGACCCTTGAGATATTGCAACCAAACTGTTAAATTGGATACATCAACTTAATCCTTTTAATAATGTATTGAGCCTCCTGCTACATTTTCTACCTTGGCTATGTTTTGTATTAGTTTTATGTTTCCTTCTTCCCTATTTTTTAAGATACGTTAGCCACATCTTAGCTGAGTTCAGGCATCCCTTCATTATCTCAAGTTAGTACAGAAAAAAGGGGGAGATTTTGAGGGCCAGCTCTGAAGAGTCAGAGGATTCAGGCCAGACCAGGTTTTCCCGTACGTGTCCTCTATCTGATGGCTATGTAAACTCAGGATGTTTGCTCACCACCCCCCTGTACTTGAGAACAGGATCACTTTGGAGATTACAAGAAAGCAAGGAAACCCCATGTTCTGTCTCTTTACAACAGTATAACCTTGGAGATTACAAGGAAGTGAGAAACAATACACTTGTTGTTATTTTGGGTGATGTTCCCATGAGAAATATACTTATTGTTGCACATATGTTGTTGTTGCCCTAGTAAAAGATATATAAACCCTTTCCTTCAGATTAATAAACGGAGTTTGGTATTTACATCTCCCACCTGGCCCACATGATTTTTTCTCTCTTCACACTCAGTCGGATTAGTTTAGACCAAGGCCATGGCCACAGGCACTCGCAGCACAAAGTACGTCAGGACTGAGCTAGATGAGATCAATGTGTATGATGAGGAACCTTCATAATCCAGTGGAATGTAGTATTTGTTCCCTTGTTTGAACTCTATATAATTCAGGGGGCATTAGGAGTCCTTAGGACATCCTGACTCAGAATGTTCTGAGAAGGTTTAGAATAAGCCTAGCTACCTGTATCAGCAAATTAGTAGTCCTACAAGATTGATTACCTAAGGACTCTTGAGGCAATGCTGCCATCTGTTAAATTTGGCCATCAATATTCTCTCTCAATCTCTTCCTATCTGTCTCTCCCTGCATTTCCTGCAACCCTACTGTGGCCATTAGAAATAAACTGGACACCTGTGTCTGGTGGTAGCCACCCTGATATACTGGTGACTATGACACTGGGATCCAGGACTCAAATGCAAAGGCCACCAGTTGAACCACATGTCCTGCCCAGAGGCAATATTTTATTGGATATTTGTGTTGTGTCTTCACCATGTCCTAATGTCCCTTTAGTTGACTAAGTGACCTTGATAAACAGCTCACTTAATATCAGTACTACACCTATTCCCTAAGGATAACCCCAGGTTAATGATGGAAGCACCACGGTGTATAAGTCAGGTGAACTACTGACCAGGGTTGGGTGTTTATGGGCCAAACATCAGTACCCCTATAGGAGAAAACCTGTTTTTTCCCACCTGTGATGTTCTCAGGAAAATGTGTTGTGTCATGTCTGGCATATTTGTAGGTTCTGCTACATTGGAAGATTTCTAAGGGGAAAGCACAGCTGAGCAAGAAAGTCTGCTGAAAAAACATGCAGAAAAGGAGTTTAAAATGGACAGTGGGGAAGATTAATGAAATTTAATACTTGAAACGGTTCTCCCAGCTTTCTATCATCTGATGCTAAACTCTCCTTCTCAATAACCAGAGATTTACTCCCATTTCAGACTTCTAGCGCAATATAAGGTTTTAGGAATTTAAAAAGAGAAAGATAAAAAACTTCAAGATACTTTCTCTCTGTCATTTCACTAGTCAGATTGGGGTTACAGAGATAAAGTCAGAGAAGTAAAGAAAGGAAATATTTTTCTTGGTTTGTAAAAATTCACAGCATTATAAACTAATTACAGAACAAATTTGTAACTGAAATAAAATATCTTTACTGTAAATTTCAAAATCATAGTTTAAAGTTTTTACAAAGGCTGAGATATTTTAAAAAGGAGATAAGAATGTGAAACTTCCACCATAAATCATAGGAATGGAGCTAATTTCAAAGAGTGGCCTCTATAATTTGGGGTGCTGGCAGCTAATGGTCTTTGGGAAATTGAGATTTTCAATGAGATCATTTGTGATTGCAAATACAAACTAAATCATGTGATTTATTTAAAGGGAGATAATCATAATGTTTTACCCTCTATAGGTAGATCATACGTTAATGAAAGAACCATTTGAATTTGTCATTAAGTTGATATACCTAGAAACTGCATGAATAAGAATTAAAGTTTAGTTGCTTTATACTGCTCTTTGGTGTAAAATACCAAATTGATAGGGGATGAAGTGATGTTTTATGTAAGATGATTCATAAATGCATTGGACCAAATTTTTATTTGACTGGCAATAAGTTTAAAAATCCATAACACTGGTTTTGTTATTGTTAGACTTACAAGTCTATTTTACAAATAATACTTTTTATTTCATAGATTTAGTGTAATAGATTTTTATTTGATAGATTGGCCATTAATTATTAAAATCTTAGAGTGCACCTGGAATAATGTGTATTGAAGTTACATCTTCTTTACTACAGGCAAATCCCAGCTTCAAAGATCTACTTTGCCTTAGGAGTTACCTCAGATATGGATATTTGTTATCCTCAAGGCTTACAGGGGTTAGTCTTCTTCTGGGTTTTGAGCAATCTATCACCTATTCATTATTTGAGCGAAATCATAGCATGTGATTGTTTTCTTACTATGTATATGTATGTATGTATGAATATGATTGGCTTTCTTCCATACCCCATAGTACTGGCAAATCTCATTCCAGAAGAGTTACAGAAATTACTGCATTCATGCTGTATACAAAAGTAGCTGTAATGAAATTGTAGAGAACTGAAGGGGACTGCCATTCCTAGGACAGCACATCTACACTACTATATGGGTGGTACAGTGAAGAAGTTGTCCATGAGAGTTGAGGAAATTAAGGAATTGAGTAGTTAGGATGCTGGAGGAGATATCAATATTGATATGTTGAAGTACTTCAAATAATGGTAAGATCTCAGGAAAGAGTAAGACTGTGAGCCAGATGCTAACTCTGATACAATCTCTCTGAGGAAAGGTTACCTTTCTCAGAAAAAAAGTGGATAATACTTTCACTACTGTATGGTAAACTTTGAAATGCTACATAAATGTGTACCATCATATCTGTCTTCTTGAGGGCAGGAAAGGCAGAGCTTATAATAGAACAACTGCCTTTAACCTGTGCTTTGGTGTAGGTTTAGCCATGGTGCATGACTTAACCATAATACTGGATTTAATTTCCATAAAAACCAGCAGAATGCAAGCTATTCCTTTGAAAGGAACTGCAATGTCTTAGGGCCACAAATCTTCTGAGTCAAAACTTCATTAATATTCATCATTAAAAGGATAGTTGGGAATGTCTTGGAATCTAAAAGGAGAGAAACATACATATACAGGTCTCATTCATTAAAGAAATCTCTCTAACACACCAACTCCAACAACTTCCCTTCTCCCAAACCCACCTGCTCAAATACACCCTTTCCCAAATTAAGAAATATAGTCTTTGTAGTGGTTTGTTTTCTTTGGCCCATGCATCTAACTACTGAATGAACACTTAGCTATAGATCCCTCTTGCCTTGGGTTCAAGCAGGTTTTGTTCAGTTTCCTTAAACAGAAAGCATTTCTGAGACACAAGGAAAATAAATGGCTAGAATACTAGACCTAGAGAAGGATATGGCAAACCACTGCAGTATCTTTGCCAAGAAAATCCCAAATGGGGTCACAAAGAGTCAAACATGACTGAATCAACTGAAGAGTAAACAAAAGATCCTGGCTCTGGAATCAGAAGACTTGGATTCAAGCTGTGGCTCTCAATTATTAGCTGTATGACTATGAGCAAATTACCAAAACGTCTCAGAAGCTCCATTTCCTCATTTTTAAAATGGAAAATAATATTTTTGGACAACTTGTTTTACAGGGTTATTGCAAGGTTCACTTGACACTATGGGTACAAAGGACTTTGCAACCATAAATCACTATGTAAATGTCAACAGAGTGGAAGTCACCTCCCTTGAGTCAAACTGGTAGTAAGTGGCAGAGAGAGGAATCAAAGCTAAACTTAAGACTTAAAATTCAGTGCTTTTCCCATGATAATTGTCACATTGCCTCCCTAAACCACGGCATACTTTATCCATATCAATTCACAAAACAAGCTTTGCTCCCACAGCATAGAGGGAATTTTAGAGCAGGAACAGTATTGTGGTGGACTTTGGACAGGCTGTACTATGAACTCCATTAAATTCTGATTGTTTCTATACAATCAGAGGGAGGAGATATTCCAAGGGCAATCAAGAGCATAGTAACTATTCCACTATGCCTCAAGTCAGTCAGTCAATAAGCATTTACTATGCCTACCATATGTGAGGCACTGTGCTAAGCGATGAGGATGCAAAGAAAAGCAAAGGACAATCTCTGCCCTTGCAGAGCACACAATCTAATGGGAAAGACCGCAAGCAAACAAATATGTAAACCACACTATATACAAGAAATAATCAAAAGAGTGAAGGCACTGTAAATTTTCTTGTACATTTTCCATTTTTTATAATCTCTTTGGGATACAGATTTAGTAGTGGTATTGCTGGATCAAAGGGTATGCATAGTTTTATAGCCCTTTGGGCATAGCTCCAAATTGTTCCCCAGAATGGTTGCATCAGTTCACAACTCCACCAACAATGCATTAGCATTACAATTTTCCCACACCTTCTCCATCATTTATCATTTTCCTTTTTGTCATATTAGCCAATCTGATAGGTGTAAGGTGCTACCTCAGAGTTGCTTTAATTTACGTTTCTCTAAGCAATAGTGATTTAGAGTATTGCTTTTTAAACTGTGCGTCACAACCCACACATGTAGGTCGTGACCCACAGTTTAAGAAGCATTGAAAGAGTTGAGAGTGAAAAAAAGTTTAAGAGGAATATAGATAGCTTTGATTTCTTCATCTGAAAACTGCCTGTTTATATCTTTTGACCATTTCTCAGTTGGGGAATGACTTGTATTTTTATAAATTTAAATCATTTCTCTATATATTTTAGAAATGAAGCCTTTAAAGGATCTAAGACATTTCCAAAGGTCACATGATGGAAAATGCTGTCCACATCCAGAGAAAGAACTATGGAGCTTGAATGCAGATTCATGCATACTATTTGTTCTTTTTTTCTCTTCTGTTTTGTTCCTTTTCTTCTTTCTTGTGGTTCTTCCCTATTGGTTCTAATTCTTCTTTACAACATGACTAATGTGAAAATATGCTTAATAGGAATATATATGTAGAGGCTATATCAGATTTTGTGTAGTCTTGGGAAGGGGGGTAGGGAGGGAAGGGTAGAAAAGTTAAAACTCAAAAGCTTATGGAAGTGAATGTTGAAAACTAAAAATAAAGAAAAAAAGGAAAAAAAAGAAATGGAATAATGATGATGACAAGGGGCAGCTGGGTGCTACCCAAAGACAATGATGCAGATGAAGATGACAACAATGATGAAGATGATGAAAACAATAAAAAAGAGAGAAAACATGGGGGAAAAAAGAAAAAAAAGAAGTGAGGCCTTTATCAGAGAAGCTGGTTCTAAAAATTCTTTCCCAGCTTTCTGCTTACTTTCTAATCTTAACTGCGTTGGCTTTGAGTAAAAACTTTTGAAAGCAATCAAAATTATCCATTTTGTACTTCCTAATGCTCTCTACCTCTTGTTTGGTCATAAGTTCTTCTCTTCTCCATAGGTCTGACAGGTAAACAATTCCTTGCTTTCTTAAATTGCTTATGGTATCATTCTTTATGTCTAAATCATGCACTCATGTTGACCTTATCTTGGTATACTGTGTAAGATGTTGCTCTATGTCTAGTTTCAGCCTTACTGTTTTCCAGTTTTCCCAACACTTGTTGTCGAATACTGAGTTCTTGTCCCACAAGCTGGAATATTTAGGTTTATCAAATATTACATTACTACAGTCATTGACTACTGTGTCTTAAGTACCTAATTTATTCCACTGATCTACCACTCTGTTTCTTAGCCAGTACCAAACAGTTTTGGTGGTTGCTGCTTTATGAAACAATTTCATATCTGGTACAGTTAATCTATCTTCCCTCACATTTATTTTCATTAATTACCTTCATATTCTTGACTTTTTTTTCTAGACAAATTTTTTTATTTTTTTCTAGCCCAATAGAATAATTTTTGGCAGTTTAATTGGTATGTCACTGAATAAGTAAATTAATTTAGGTAGAATTGTCATTTTTTTTATATTATCTCAGCCCACACATGAGCAACTGATATTTTCTCAGTTATTTAGATCTGACTTTATTTGCATGAAAAGTGTTTTGTAATTGTATTCATATAGTTTCTGAGTTTGTCTTGGCAAGTAGACTCCCAATATTTATATTCTCTACAGTTATTTTAAATGGAATTTCTCTTTCTAGATCTTCTGCTGGACTTTCTTAATAATATCAGATTGCATGCTGTCTTGGGGAAAGCTGGGGGAAGGGAGGGAGAAAAATATTTGGAACTCAAAATCTTATGAAAGTGAATGTTGAAAACTATCTTTACGTGTAAATGGGAAAAATAAAATACTATTAAGTGGGGTGGGGGAATAAAAAAAAGAGGGAAGGCACCAGAATTAAGAGGGGTTGGGAGAGGCTTCCTGCAAAAGGTAGCAGTCTAGTTGGGACATGAAGAAAACCAGTGAAGCCAGGAGACAGAGGTGAGGGGAAGAGTATTCCAAGAATAGAGGAGAGCCAGAGAAAACATCCAGAGCCTAAGATGTCATACCTTCGTAATAAATAACAAGAGGCCAGTGTCACTGGATGCTTGAGTAAATGGCAGGGAGCAAAGTGGGAGAAGATTGGAAAGAATGGGGAGGAGGAACTCTAAATGCCGAACAGATAATTTCGTATATGCTCCTGGAGATGACAAGCAGCCATGAGGGTTTCTTAGCTGACAGGTGTTTGACTTAATGGTGGCCTAATGGAGAATGGACTGGAATGAGGAGAGACTTAAGGCAGGCAGACTTACCAGAAGCCTATTACAATGGTTCAGGTATGAGGTGAAGAGGGCCTGCACCACAGTGGTGGCAGTATCAGAGGAGAGAAAGCAGTATATTCAAAAGATGCTGCAAAGGTGAAATCAACAGGCTTGGCAATAGATTGACCGTGAGAAGGGGTGGGAGTGAGAGAGAGTGAGGAGTCAATGATGACACCTAGGTTGTAAGCCTTGGGGCTGGAATGGTAATAGGGGAAGTTTGGAGGTGAGGAGTGTGTGAAGAAAAGATAATGAGTTCAATTTTAAATGTGAAAAATAAGGTTGCAAAGTTAGGAGACAGAAAACCAAAGATATGGACCATGCTTATTTAAATGATCACGTTTATATAATTACCCAAAAGCCCTAGGCTAATGTGGAGCCAGTCACCTACTGAGAAGAAAAGCAGTCATGGGAAGAGGTGTGGGGCTTCTCTGAACCTCACTTCCTGAGAATGATAGACGAGTGCAACAATCCTCATAGGAAATGGGTTTGAAGGAAGCTACACCCAGTTTTCTTTATCTATCCTTGCATGCCTATGACTGTACTCTTCCATGGTAACATTAAAGAATGTTGCTCTAGTGTTCATCTTCACGGAATCGAGGCTCTACAGCACCTTCAGACCTTATTTGGAGACTTTAGACATCATCTAATCCAAACCCTTCTTTTTCCAAATTTTCCAAGAAACTAAGATTCAGAGAGGAAAATGGACTTGTTCCTTCTCTCTCATAGCTAGTAAGCATCAAAAATATAACTAGAACCTGTTTCCAATGCAAGGTATCAGAGATACCTTTTGTGTGGGAGAAGTTTAGTTACTGAAAGTGAAAAAAAAAGCCATTGTGCATGAAAAAATGATAAAAATCCATCTATGATAAAATACAATTTTTCTATTAAACTATAAAGACAGAGAGAGGACTACATAGAGAACTGAACAGCCATGTCTGAAGGCAGACAAATGACTGAAGTTGCAAATACCTTATTGCAATTTTACCTTTGACCATCAATTGCTGAAAATTTTTTTCAGACCTGACCTAGCATAAGATAGGTTCAGAATGTAGCTTCAGAGAACAGGAAGAGGAGATGTGATGACCACTGCAAAATATTATACTTCATAGATTTATAACTTCTCCATGAAGGACTTGAAAAAGGACTCCTTCCTGTAAAGTGCTATCCTGCATCCCTACAGTAACACACCTCTAAGAAAAAGTTAGATATTAAAGGCAAAACTCACTGATTAAAGGTTAGGTAACGAAGGTTTTTGTTAAGGCCATCAATGGCTTTCATGTCTTCTGGAGTCAACTGGAAGTCAAACACCTGCCAGGGAAGAAACAATATTATAATAAGTAGGATCTGCTTGTAGCACCTTAGAATGGAATAGGCAACTTAATTCATTGAATCAGTCACATTCTCCACTGAGACTCTTATAATTCTCTTCTGGTGTTGGAGGTGATTAGGCTAACTGAAAACTAGCTACTGCCACTTGATAGTTCCCATCTTCTTGTGGGTGGAGTCACCCTTTTCTAACTCCTCTTTTCAGAGTTGTAGACTTCCCCTTAATCTAGAACTTTGCATTTACCTGATCATGAACCCCTTGGGGATTCAGGATATTGATACAACAGGTTCATGTTTACAAATTTTTGATTCTGCTTTATGTAGCAAATAATTGCCCCAAATTTGTTGCAAACATATTTTCCCCTGTGACAACAACCATATGTATATTTGAAGCAATATAGTTTTGTTTCTGAAAATATTCAAAACCATCCTACACACAATGATTTCTGTGTCTGTATGGCTGACACCATACTGATCACTTCTGACTTAGCACAACATGTTCTTGAAGTTTCTCAACCTGTCATCAAATTGTTTCCAAACAGCTATGGTCACAGGAGTCCAATATTTGAGTGCAAACTGATTTCCAATAGATGATCAGATGTATAAGCATACTCTTATTTGCTCTCTATATACCACACCAGAGAGCTCCTTCATTCCCCTTTGTTACCATATAATTCTATCTCATCAGTGGCATAAACATATGATCAAGATGCTATGAATATTTGCATTCTTGCAGTGCAAATAAATCTCAGGCTGTTTGAAATCCATGAGCATTTAGAAGTCATCGTGAAATTATCGTTTCATTATCACAAGCATTCAGAAGAAACAAACCTTATATTGCCTCTCATTGTAATATTAAGGCTTTTTTCTGATTTAACTATATCTTCCACTTATGATACTATTCTTCAGTATAATGAACTGGTTGTCAACACTCATCAGTGTTTCAGCAGAGTGTCTTTGAGGGTATAGCCAGTATGCCAGTGATATAGAAGAATGAAGTTATATCTGAAGAGATTCTCTCCTTACAAAGATTAGTGTAGATATAAAAATTGTTAAAAAAATTAAGCAATATATGTAATTACACCTTAAGTATATTTATCATTTAATACTATGCTACTTAGTAGAAAAGTAAGTCTTTTATATCTTAACTAGCTATGTATTTTCATTAATTAGTTAGGTAGCTAAAAATTTTAAATGAACTTCCATCTTTAAAGAAAGATAGCTTATAAAATTCTCCTACTATTTTCCACCACGTTATTTATGGGAGCAAGCATTTTCACTTTAAACTTATTTTAAATGAAAATATGGAGATAAACTTGATGTGAAAACAGTTTTAAGATTGTGTTTATCTAATATTAGATCAAATATTATACAGTTCTATCCAAATAAAAAGCTCATATGTCAAAATTAAATTTACATATGATTACTATATTAGGTTAAACATATACCAAATTGTAACATATTTCATTATGTTAGTCATATTCAACAAAGTTGGTCAAATAAATTTAATATGAAGTCTTGCCGATAATTGTAAGAATATGAGGTCTTACTGGAATACTTTTTTTTTAAATTCTTGGCAAATTTCTCACATAAAATAATTCATAATTATAATTAGAGTTTTATTTTGTATTTAGAGTTTTCATAATTATGAGTAGAATTATAATTACATAATGTAAATTTCAATTTGGAGCTTCTTTTGTAAAATTTATTACTGGCATTTTAAGCACGTCATAAATAAATCTAAAACAATATTATGAACAGTATATGGAATTACACTGGTGGTACACAACACACTGTATGTTGTTGTTGGAAAGGGTTTGGGGAACAAAAAAGTTGGGAACTGCTGCCATAGTCAACGTTTCTACAATGTGAGAAGTAAATGTGCCTGAAATATTCTTATACTTATTCATTCTCTTTTCCCTAATGCTATTGCTTTCACTCCTTCTTTGTTCTGGTTTTGAAGGTGTTAGTAGGGTGGAACATGACATCTTAATTATATGGTTGTCACCCAACTTGAGAAATTTGTAAAACATTTTTAAATCATCGAGATTCCCTCTCATATAGCTACCATGCCCCTAACTGGATCCCTCTATTAAAATTCAGGCTGAAAGGCTCTATGCCCTCTGCCCAGTTTTCCTATTCTTCATCAAGTGCTAAGGTCAAAGCCCTCTTCCTCTTCTTTGCACTCCCCGGAGATGAATAATTTAGCAAAGAACCAACATTTAGGATCTATCACTTTAAGTTAGCTTTAGTATTAATTAAAACAGAAGACTGCAGATTAAGGTAGAATATGCAGTTCACCTCCCAATAACTATAATGTCTCAAAATGAATTCTAGAGCATTAGAACCAATGAAAAGACAGAGTGAAAAAATTTTCCAGCCAAATACAACTTGGAAAGTTGGTAGGAAAAGTCTGTCTCACAGGTAAAAGGGGAACACAGTACAATGCAGGCAGCATCCAGTCAAACCAGCATCAAAGTCCTGAGTCTAGGCTCAGGTCAATGACTCTGGCACAGTAGGCCAGAAGCCAGGTCCCACAGTCTCTGAGCAGCAGGCAGCTGAGAGACCTCTCACCCCAAGAACAACAGACCAGTGGTGAGGTTCCTCTATCCCAGTACAAGAAGCTTTGGATAGTGTCCCCTCCACCCAAAGAACAGGGTCGAACTTTAAGTCACATAATAGACTGGGAAATGAGCAAAAAACAAAAAAATACAACTGACCATAGAAAGTTACTATGGTGACAGGAACAATTAAAACACAAACTCAGAAGAAGGCAACAATGTCAAAACACCTATATGCCAAGCCTCAAAGAAAAAATGTGAAATTAGTTTCAGGACCCCCCAAAAAAAACTACTAGCATGCTCAAAAAGAACTCCTGGAAGAGCTTTAAAAGGATTTTTAAAGTTAAATAAGAGAAGTAGAAGAAAAATTTGAAAACAAAATGAGAGTGACGCAAAAGAATCTGAAAAAAGAGTCAACATCTTGGGAAAGGAAGCACAGAAAATAGAAAAATGCATACAAAAATTCACTGAAGAAAACAGCTCCTTAAAAATAATTGGCCAAATGGAAAAGGAGGTACAAAAGCTCACTGAAGAAAATAATTCCTTAAAAATTAGAATTGGGCAAGTGGAAGCTAAAGACCCCATGAAACATCAGGAATCAATCAAAAAAAATTTTTTTAATGAAAAATAGGAGAAAATGTTAAGTCTCATTGAAAAAAGAACTGACCTGGAAAATAGATTCAAGGGAGACAATTGAAAACATTTCGAACTATAATAAAAAAAAAAAGCCTGGACATATTTCAAGAAATTATCAATGAAAATTCCCCTGATATCCTAGAACCAGAAAGTAAAATAGAAATTGAAAGAATCCACCAAACAGCTGTTGAAAGAGATCCTCAAATGAAAACTCCCAGGAATATTATAGCCAAATTCTACAACTCCCAGATCAAGGAAATAATACTTCAAGCAGCCAGAAAGAAACAATTGGAATGTTGTGGAGCCATAGTCAGGATTATACAGGATTTAGCAGCTTCCACATTAAAGGACTAAAGGGCTTGGAATATTATATTCCAGAAGGCAAAAGAGCTAGGATCACAACCAAGAATCACCTACCTATAAAAACTGAATATATAACCCTCAAGTGGGAAAATGTTTATTTGATGAAGTAGAGGGCTTTCAAGCATTCCTGAAAAAGACAACAGCTGAACAGAAAATGTGATTTTCAAATACAAGACTGAAGAGAAGCATAAAAGGCAAACAGGAAAGAGGAAAAGACATAAAGGATTCAATAAAGTTAAACTGTTTACAAGGAAAGGTGATACGTCTAATTCTTAAGAAGTGTGTCAGTGTTAGTCCAGTTAGAAGGAGTATACATAGAGGGAGGGTCAGCTATAAGTGGATTTTGATGTGATGACATAAAAATGAAATAAGGGATGGAAAAGAGTTTTGCACTGGGAGCAGGGGAAAGAGAGATACAATGGGGTAAATTATCTCACAAGGAAGAGGCTTTAAGAGGAATAACATATATACTCTTTTGGATATAAGAACCTAGCTTACTATATAGGGAAGTAGAAGGGGTGGGGAATAACAGCAGCAGGAAGACTGATAAAAGGGAGAGCAGATTGAGAGAAAAGGTGGTCAGAAGCAAAATGCGGGTGAGGAGGCACAGAGTACTAAGAACGAGAAGGATAAACAGAGGGAAAATAGAATGGAAGGAAACACACAGTAATCACGACTGTGAATGTGAATGGAATGTATTCACCCATAAAATGGAAGCAGACAGCACAAAAAATTAAAAGCCAGAATCCTACAATATGTTGTTGACAAGAAACACATTTGAAGAAGAGAGAGAGAGAAACAGAGGGAGAGGCACAGAGAGAGAGAGAGAGAGAGAGAGACAGAGTGACAGAGAGAGGAAGAGAAACATAGAGGCAGAGACAGAGACAGACAGACACAGAGACAGAGAGAGACAGAGAGAGTAAAGGGAAGGGGCTGGAGAAGAATCCACTACCCTGCAGCTGAAGTACCAATTAAATGAAAACTTAACAATTTTAAAGAAGTTTTGGATTTAATGTCTGCCATCTCAGGCAGCCAAAAGACTGGGGAGAATGATAGGAGAGGTAGGAAGGAGAGACAGAGCACACTTTTACCAGATCCCCCAAGGAGACATTTCAAACGAGATGTTTAAGACCTCTGAAATTTAATACGTCCAAAACAGAAGTCATTATCATTATTCCCAAAGCAACAATCATTCCAACTTTCCCAATTTCTGTATAAAGAACCATTAGTTGTCCAGTCTCCCAGGTTCATAATCTTGGAGTTACCCTTAATTCCTCACTTTCCCTCACCCTACAAATATAATTAGTTGCCAAATCTTGCTGTTTCTGCTCAACATCTCTTATATCTCATCCTTTGCTCAAACAGCTACCATCATCACTTCTCACCTGGATTATTGATCATTCTCCTTCAAGTGACTCCCCAGTTTAGTCCATTCTCCCTATTGCTGACAAAGTCATTACCCTTAAGGGCAGATCTCACTCTGTCATTATCTTATTCAATCAAATCCTTATTGTCTTGAGGATAAAATATAAACTCCTCCACAATCTGGCCCCACCCTATCTTTCTCTTGGTTCCTCACACACAACATTGCATCTGCTATCTCCTTCCCTTTGCACTGGCCATCCCCTATGCCTGAAATGCATTCTCTCTTCACTTCTACCTCACAGAATCCCTTTCTTCCTTTGGTATATCTCAAGTACCAACTTCCATATGAAGTCTTTTCTGATTCCCTTAACTGCGAATGCTCTCCCTCCCAAACTACTATGTATTTAACTACTTTGCATCTCTTTTTATTAAACAAACATGATATAAAGTGAATAACTATCAAGCAGTTATTCCAAAGTGTGTGTTACATAAACACCACATACACTGTCTCCTCAGAAAATTGAAATGAACAACTAGTTTCTTGGAGTTCTTTTGAAAGTAGCAGAGAATGTTGGTGAATTCACACTTCTCTCCACCAGATTCAATCACTGAAGTCCACTAGACTCTTTAGGAGTCAGCTTCCTAGTGACCAGCTTTCAGACGTCTCTACTTTTCATCATTTTCTCCAATATTCCATTCATCAACACCACAGTCTCTGCAGCTGCTTAACCCAACATGCCTCTTTACCTGAAAGTTCTCTTTGATCCGCTTTTCAGTGAAGCTCTTTGCCAAGACTACCACCCCTCGCTGAATCTGGTATCGAATAGCAACCTGGGCTGGGGTTCGATTGTGCTTCTTAGCAATGGCTCCCAGCACTGGGTCTTCTAGGACAAGGGGAGAATTTTGATCTACCCTGCAGGGGAAAACAAACATGTTGAAATCTGTGGTCAGGGAAGTGGGGAAGATTTCAATGCCATGTAGATAGTAATCATCCTTTAGCTTTTTTTACGTTTTTCAAAGCATTTCCATAGACATATCATTTGAACCTATAATAATATCATGAGGGGGTAGGGCAACTGTTATTATCTTCTTTTTACATATGGTGAAATGGGGCTTGGAAAGGTTAAATTCTTTCTTCAAGACCATGCAATTAGTAAAATGCCAGAAGTCAGATGGGAGGCAAATCCAGTTAATTAGAACCCCATAATCAATGCTGTTTCTACTACTCAATGTTGCACAATTTGTAAGCATGCAAAAATTTGGGCAGTCAACTGTATTAGTGATTAAGAAATCCATTACAAACCCCCTTTCTCACCATGCAGCCTCTCTGTGGGTTCCCAAGGCACTATATGCTACCAAAATGATATCATTTGACTTGCAGAACTCCAACAATTTGCTCTGGTTCAAGTAAGGATGGCATTCCACCTGCAGTACAATACATACTGAAGTTTGGGCTTATAAACATAAGATGCATGAGGCCAAAAAGGACAATATTAAGCTTTTTGGTAATCAAAGGACTTCGGAATTACCTAGCTACAACCCAAAGCACAGAATGTTAGCATGTCTATTTAAGGCCCTTTTCACATAGAGCTCTTAGTGCTGAAAGGGGCAGAAAAAGCAGTTTTCAGTTCAGGAAAAGATTTAAATTAGTTAATACAGAATGTAAGATTCAGATACTGCCATTGATGAATAGTTTCATGCCTGAAAGAAGTAGGAAAAGAACTTTGTTTAATAAAGAACTATTTAAATGTGTTTGAAGAAACATGGCTTTCAGAGATGATTTGAGCAGTTTTGAATAGAAAATCAACTGTATGATAAAAATAGACTCAAATGACCTTATGGATTATATAGAATGAAACCTTACATGTCTGTGAAAAGTCTTATGGTTTAAAGAATCAAAGAAATAAGTTTTATTTATTTAAAGCTGGGAAAATGTGAGTAGAAAGAAACAGTTTCAAAAACAAAAAATTAGATTTAGAACCATGATGAAGGTAGGAATTGCAGGGAGCTGTAGTCCCTCCCCTCATTTATCAGGAAGGTGAAGGATAGGAAAGAAACTGCACTAGAATAATAATTGTTTTACCTGATTGCAGACAGGTTTATACTTAAGCCCACGTTTATTCAGGATCATCTCCAATTGCCTGCGGTTGAAGTTGGACACTCCAATGGATTTCACGAGGCCTGCATCCTTACATTTCTCCATGGCCTGAGTAGAGAGGGATTGTGAATGCCTATAGATTCCTGGAGGACATGTGGAGTAGAACCCTTTCCCCATGCATCACCTAGCCTTGATCTTTTCGCTTCCTCTCCTCTGATTTGAAAAAAAAGAACCTCAGGAGAGGACACTTCCACAGAATTCAAATCTGGAAGGGGCTTTAGATACAATTTAGTTGAACTTCCTTATTTTCTTTTCTCTTTTGGTCAAGGAAACGAACATCTAGAGAAGTTATTGCCAAACATCATATAAGTAACCAAACCATGATTTGATTTCAGATCTTCTGACTTTTTTACTATGCTGGTTCAGTGGACAGCTCTTTATCAGCCATATTTCTGGTTTTAAGAGAAATATGTTAACTGAACTTCATCTACGTGACTACCTTTCCCATCAAACTATGAATATCTGGAGGGTTAAGTGATTATTTCAGGAAATGACATTTAAAATCATAGGAGCCAAAGCCAAGATACTCAGAAATATCAAATTAGCCTTTTATTCTTTGAAAAGGGTGATAAAATCCACACTGTCAAGAAACAAAAGTGGTAACAAACACCAGAAAAACAACCCCCCTCCAACTTTTAACTACTTTCTCTTGTTTTTAATTTCTGTTATTTTCCAGCACACTAATTACTCTCTTCCATGCCATTCCCATTCAATTTGTCATGGGTTCTTTCCCCTCGATCTCAATCTGACAAGATGTCTAAATTTCTTGGAGTTTGTAAGAAACCCTGGGAGTGTGACTCTTCTCTTTGCCCTCCCCATTCTATAGCCCACCTCAGGGGACCCAAGATCCCACTGTCACCCACAGAGGCTGCTTCAGCAATACCTTAAAGTACTTAATTCCCTGGATTTTCTGATTAGCCTGCCAATCCTCATTAATTCACACTTACATACTTTTTATATTAATATAGAATAAGAGAGTAAACCTTTAATGTCAACAGACTTCACTGTCTTTTAGTCCAGCTGCCCTCATTCTTCAAGTCATAGTTGAGATGACTCACTCAATATCCCCAAATCAGCGTCAGAGCTAAAATTAGAAGTCTAGGTTTCTAGCCTTGCACTTGTTCCACTTAACAAGCTGCCTTCCATCTTTTCATTTGAGAAAATTCGCTTCCAGCTACCTGAGGATCTCCCTCTCCAGTCACAATCACTATTCGGCAGGGCTATCTTGACCTCAAAGCCACAGCATATTTGTTGTCTGCTTCCACAAGTCACCTACCTCCCAAGTATCACGCAAATCCACAGAGTCACTGATAACTTTCTGATTTTCATCGAATGGGAACATATCTTTGCCAGGCTGTAATTAGAGAAAGGAGACTGTTCTTCTTGAGACACTCAAGCAAGTGAGTTATTCTATTCAACTCAGTGAACATTTATCAAACACCTAATATCAAATAAAAAATGCCAAATGAGGCACTGAGCCAGATGCCACAAATAAAACATGAAATGGCGATATAGTTCTTGCCTTGGAGGAGTTTACCTTCTACTAGTGGCAATCAAGTACATAGGCAATTATAATACAAGTCCACAGGATTAGAGATGTAGACCTAGAAGAAAATCTTAGAGATCATCTAATCAAACCCTCTCTTTTTATTATATACCTAAAACTTTATTGATAATTTGGGACATAAAAAACTTCTCTACAAACATTAAATTAAGCCTTATAAAAAAGCATATTTTCTGAAACAATTAACCAAAACTGCCTAATTTAATTACATGGTTCTGACTGATAGTGTGTCACTTTTTAATTTAGTAGTCTACCAATATTTAAAAAGAAAATATGTGTCCTTTAACTTGAATAGTTTAGAATGTGTTTTATACGATTGTAGTCATGTATATCCTTTCACTCATTCACTCATAAAGCACTTATTAATCACCTATGATATGTACCAAAAGGAAACAATTCACTACAGGATAGTTCTAGTAATTCCTGTTTTATTACTCATGGCCCAGAATCAAACTGCTAAATCCTTGATTCATTTTTATTCATTTGCCAGTTAATCAGCCTTCCTTCATCGTAGCTTGTTTTGCTTGAAGAAATTATCTTCTCCCCTAACTGATTCCTTCCTCTTCCCTCTCTGACTCCCTTCTTGTCCCTCCTTAGTCCAATCAACTCCCCTCTTCATTTTATCCTTTTTTTCTTATACTTCTCTTTCCCAGCATGGATGATGGGATGATTCATGTATCCCGTCATCCCCCAACCTTCTCTTTCTGTAGGGTATCTCCTTTAAACCCTCATACTCACAGTTTCTCTTTTCTCCTCACTAACCAATAGACAAAGTGGGGTTTCCCTTTTAGTTTGTGAGCATTGGACCGTCACCCAGACTCTTAAGGCTACTTGGACTTGTTGACATTTTACAAATTTCTTTTATCCCTTGCATTTGGGTAGGGGGAGGAAAATTTGGGTTAAGTGATTTGCCCAGGCTCACACATCTAGTAAGTATATGAGGGCAGATTTGAACTCAGGTTCCAATTTGAATACAGGTCCTGTTGGACTCCAGAGCCAGTACTCTATCCACTGTGCCACCTAGCTGCCCCCTGTCCCTTGCATTTCAAAGACTATTAAAGAAGATAGCCTCCAGAAGTAGAGGCAAGCAGTCAAGCTCCCACATACCAACTCTAGCAGAACTAAACTTCATTTCACACTGAATAATGATCAAGAAATTAATGAGAAACAACAAGAAATGAAATCTTCTACTCCAGAACTGTACAAAAAGTCACCCAGCAGCGCAGAGTCAAGAAAAGAACACCCTTTCTCTCCCCCCAAGCAAAGCTTCCTAGAGAGATGTGGCATCTCTAGTCTGCAATGCTCTCAGTCTAGGTTTAGCAAGAACAGAGGACTCACCTGAGAAAGCCCTAGGGTGCAGGCCTTGAAAACCCTGGGGTGGAACAGCTGGAAGAAATACTGAGGTGCTACTGAGCTTAGGTTGGAACAGCCAAGGTCAAACAAAGCTAAGGGGATCTGAACATTCTGTTCTGAGATACCCCAGAAAACCCAGCTCCCTGAACCTCAAAGGACATGGGGAGCCAAACTCTAGGAGATGGAGGTCAGCACAAGAATCCAAGCTAAGACCAAGCAGAGCAAACCACTTGACCCAAAAGTGCAGCAAGGGCCCTTGCCTGGCCCTGGAACAAAGCCCCATTTAAGAAACTGAATTCAGAGATGACTAAATCAAACACCCAAAATAATAATTTTTAAAAGTATTGCAAATCCAACTAAAAAAAAAAGAAGAGAGAGATTTATCAGTGGAACAGATTAAGTATATCACATACTGGTGCAAATATATCTAATCCCTTAATATGCAACAAAAAGAAGACCCAGTTACTGGAGTAGGTACTCACTATTTAACAAAAACTGTTGGAGAAATTGAATGGTAGTATGGAAGAAATTAAATTTAGATGAGTATCTCATACCTTATGCAAAGATAAGCTCCAGATGTGTATGTGACCTATGTGTAAAAAACTTTAACATAAATTAATTGGACAATCTTGCTTTGTTTCTAACCTAGGCAGGTTTGCTTCTCCTGAGGCAACCTGGAGGCTCACCAGATCTGTGCTGGTCTTGGTGGGAACCATGGATAAGCAGTAGCACTACTATAGCTCAGAACTCTCTAACTTGAGCCATCTACCAGCCTTAACCTCCCCAGGAGCAGGTGCAGATTAAAAATAAGCAACACAAATATCATGTTATATCCTGATGGACCAAGAATGTGGAAGTCCCCAACCTCCTGGTGGTCTAACATTAGAAAGTCCCTCACCCTTATGCAATGAGAGTTGACCTTGACAATGGACTTATTCCACTGTTGGGGTTTCTTCCTGTCCTTGGATAAGAGACACTGAAGTTTTTTCTCAAAGGACTGCTTTCACAATTGTCAAAGACTAATTGTGAAACCTTGTTCTCTTCTCCTTATCCTCTGCCTTTAAACATTTGTTTATTCTGGTAGTAAATCCCACCACTTGCATTCCAAATACTCCTTTTTTCTGCTTTGACTGATACCCCAAGCCTTTTCTGTGGAATGCTTTTTTTCTATCCTCAATTGTTATGCAATGTTGCTGATTGGCTGTGTACTCTAAGCAGTCTGAAAGTCATAAAACCAAATTTATACTCAATCAAAAGAAAATGAATTTGCTATCAGCAAGAGCAGATTCCCTAGCACTCTAATAAATCTCTAAGCTTTTTCCTCCTATCTTTGACCCACACTCACTGGACCTTGCAGACAAGTATGCCTCTCCCAAGAGGTCAAGAGAATTCCCTAACACAGGGACTATAGGCATTCACCACCATGACCAGCCTTATCTCTTAAGGTTAAATCAGGATTTATTTAGGAAATGTTTACTTACAGGCATCTACTTTAAATATTAGGACACTGACACCCAACCCTATCAACAATGGCTTTTTTTTTCCTGTCAAAACGTTAATCTGCAGTCCTCTAGAGACAAAGCCCAAATAAGGACAAAACATTCCTTCACTTCTTACAGAAGCAGGGCTGAAAATGCCAAGGCAGAAAAGGGAGAAATGTGGTCAAAATATCTTTGTGTACCTAGACAAGGTTCTAGTACTTACTTTAAAAGACATGGGGCAGTGGATAATATAAAGGTCAATGTAATCAAGCTGGAGGTTTTTCAGCGTCTCTTCCAAGGCAGGCCTGACCAATTCTGGGCGGTGGTATGTATTCCAAAGCTAAAGGGAGTGAAAGAACATTCAAAGTAACCTGGAATATTCTTTATCAAAGCAATTCCTAGCAGAACAGCAAATTGTGGCAATACCAGGACAGCAGACTGAGTTCTCAGAATGGCCAGTTTACAGAAAAATTGTGTGTAAGCTCATCCTTGTCACTTAACCTCTCTGTGCCTGTCTCCATAAAATGAGAGACAACAAATAAATTCTATCTACCTTCAAGAGTTCTTATGAGGTTCAAAAGAGACATCCCATGCTTTGTAAACTGCAAAAGGACCTCTTTGGGAAGGAGAGAAATTTACCCACTAGAGCAAGGGTCTTGACTACCTATTGAAGGAGGTTGTGAATGAATGTACACCCAGTATGGAGACATCTCTGAATCAGGGGTTTTAAAAGTACGAGACAAGCCTGAAGCTAGAAAGTTAAGAGGAAGAAACTCATGGATTGAGGTGAGGTGTTTTCTGTGGGCCAAACCTATCTGACCATTGAACAACGAGGTATCCTCTCAACTCATGTTAATGCTGGATTTTGAATATTAACAAAGCCGTGTTTTGGTAACTTACACTAGGAAGCAGTAGCTACAGAATCAAATGTCAAAAGACATAGTAGGGAAGTAGGCACTGACATACAACACCTTCACTTTCACCTTATTGGTTGGGTAAGTGGCCAATTTTCACTACATCAGTTCCTAAGATTGAACACAAAGATGATTTAATAGCACACCAGAGACAGACAACAGGCTAGATTTGTTCCTTTCTATGCTTTTAGTTTGGGAGGAGGTTTTAGGAGATGATAAGCAACATTGCTATTACTTTAATCTCTTACTATTTACTTTTCTTCCTATTTCACTTTGGAAACCTTTAATATGATTTAATTAATTGTCCTAATCCAAACTCCTGTCCCCAACAAAGTAATGTAATGACTAACATCTTCTGCAAGTTCAGGGACTTTTGAAATGCTAGAAACCAGCCACCTTTGGGGACCAAAGGAAAAGAATAAGACTGAGCTAGAATAGGTTGATAAAGTACCTTTTAATCCTTTTCTCATCTAACTCCAGTTAAATACAGATAGCATGACAAGACTATGAGAAAACCTTTAGACTTCTTAATTAATTTAATTAAATAAAACCCATGAAACTTTTTAATGATATAATAGCATGTTGCTGAATTTCTAACAAATTTGAGTGCACATTACTGCTATTCAGAAGCAATTAAGCCCACATACTCTTCCTTAAAAAAAAAAAAGTTGCAATCTACTTTGTTTTTGTCTGTTCTTAAAGGCATTCTTCTATGTTCCCACAATGATAAGGTGCTTTTAAAGAATGACTAATATGACTAATAATCAGCTACATATTTATGATTTGTATTCTTTCCATTAAATCTGGAATTCAACTTCCTGTTACATAATTTATTTCTAACTTACAAAAAAAAAATACAGGTTTATCAAGCACTAAATTCCACAGTAAGAATATTACTTTCCTCCAAATTAACTCTACTTTTGACCCATTAGATAAAAAGAAAAGTCCACTAACTGATCATCCCATACATTCTCACAATTTAGTCAAGGAGCTTATGTCCTGACTGAACGTAGGAATAATTTAGATTATAGTCTTCAGGTTTAAATTTAAACTGCTAGCACAACTATGAAACTGTCAATTCAAAATAGTGAGTCCACTGAATACCAAAAAAATGATATTTGGCATGTCATAATAAGACGAATAATCTCACAGCTGCTCATTTAGAAAATATAGTCACTGTTTCTCCTTAATAGCTTTTCCTGAAGGTGCTTGTTTCTCTCCTTGTCCCTGAAGAGATTTCTTAATTATTTATCTAGGGAAATTAAATGTTCAGCTATTTTAAACTTGCTTATAGGAGTGTAAGCTCCTGAAGAGCAAAGACAATGTCTGTTCTTTAATGAATATCCCTGTGCAAGTGTGCATCTTGCTTATTAACTGAGTGGCCACTCTACTTTTGAAATTAAATGACTGGAAGTTAAATTCCATTGTTTCTCATCAACATTAGCTATCCTTCCTCTTTTCCCTTATGCAGCATAATTCATTTTTGTTTTCTAGATTGCCTTGGTTGGGAGGACTCCCCTTTGTTCCACATAGAATATTGTTTATATTTTGTCACCTTTTTTTTATTTTGAAAAAAAATCCCACAAAATTCAATCCCTGATTTCCTCCCAACAATACCTTCCCGGTGTAGAATATGTCCTTTCTGGTCACTGTCCCATCGGCAATCTTCGCGCGGATTGCCTGTCCAACTTCTTTTTCATTTTCATATAGGAAAGCCCCATCAATATGGCGGAAGCCCACCTCAATAGCCACCTTTGTGGCCATCTCACCTTCGCTTTTGGGAACCTAAGGATTCAAACGGAGAGAGTTTCAACCTGGATAAAGATACCTTAGCCCAATGGACCCCCTTCCCTATACATGGCCCTTTAACTATTGCTTCTCCTTTCCTCTATTCTATCTCTCCAGCTCCACTTTCTCCCTTGCTTGTCTTTTCTTGGTCAAGTACTACTGAAGTCTTCCATTGAGCAGCTGCATTTTGTAATTTGTTTTCTTTAGATCCTGATGCTTGTTTATTTTTCCATTTGGCCATTCTAAGAAGTATGGGGCTATTAGGTAATAGAGAGAATTAGACATTTTGCCAGATAGACAGATGCCCACGTCAGTTGAATTCTTTGACTTAGACCAAGGGTGGGGAACCTGTGGCCTTGAGGCTACATGAGGCCTTCTTGGTCCTCAGGTGGGCCCTTTGAATCCAAACTTCACAGAACAAATCCCCTTAATAAAAGGATTTCTTCTGTAAAACTCAGACTTAGTCAAAAGGCAACACCCAAGGATTTAGAAGGCCACATGTGGCCTCCAGGTCCCAGGTTCCCCACCCCTGGCTTAGATTTCAATCTTCAGACTTCAGTTTCAGGATCTGCTACTATACGTTACATGCCTTTCCTCCTCCCACAGCCCATAGTTTGATGGAATGTTTTGTTTTAAGTATATTGAGTTACAGGCTTTTGCAAGACAGCAAAGTACTATGCCAGAAAACTGGGCAATAATAATTCACATTGCAAAGCCAATAATGCCTAAAGGAGGAGAAAAGTTTTCAACAATAAGAAGTTTGGGAGAAGACTTTTTGTCCATTAGAGAAAAAAATGAAAAAAAAAAGATAAACTTAAGAGAATCACTCCCAATCATAGATTAAAAAAGAAAAAGAAGAAAATTAACTTGACTTCTGCTATCTATGACTACATATTTAAATTAAAATTCTAGAATCACCTAAAGGAACAAGACACAGAGTTTAGAATTACTGTTAGGGAATCTATACCTATAGCCTTAGCTATCATATTGATAAGGATAAGAGGTCAAACAATTCAAGTTTCAAAGTGTTGGTAGTGAGATTTTGCCAACAACCACTTTAGGTACAAATATGGAAAACCCCATTAATGTAAAAGAATTAGATCCATCCAACCAATAAATAGGCTAAATAATGATGTTGCAGTATAACTGGCTACTTACTCAGCTCAATGTAACTTTTTTTGAATTATATATAATAATGCTTTGTACTTTATTACATGTATATGTAGTGTTGCATGTATGTTATTCATATATATATGTATATATATACATATGTATATATATATATATATATATATATATTTACCGTTGCTAGAGTTTGCCTTATTAGAAGCAGCTTGTTAAGTGTTGCTTTGAATTGTGATATGCATATAATATGTATACTTTATGTATATATGGTGATGAGTTGTACTATAAAGAAAGCTGAGCACCACAGAATTGATGCTTTCATACTGTGGTGCGGAGAAGACTTTTGAGAGTCCCTTAGACAGCAAGGAGATCAAATTACTCATTACTAATTAATTCAGGCTAATCACTGGAAGGTCAAATACTGAAGGTGGACATGAACTTGGACAGATTTTGAGAGATAGTGGAGGACAGAAGGACCTGGTGTGCTGTGGCCCATGGAGTCACAAAGAACCATACATGACTGAACCACAAATATTATAAGTAACATTAGGGTGAATGTTATATATCCCAAAATGATTTTCAAGAAATGAAATTATAGGTTGCAGGGAATACAACACCAGGTTCAGCAGCTTTTCCCACAGACTACAGGTACTATTACTATATGTTTAAGGGAGATTAGAAAAAAGGGGGGGGAAGATTGTAGCAGAAAAGGACATCAACCTCTCTCCCCCTTTTTTTTTATTCATTTATTTTGATTTATTAACAATCATTTCCATAAGCTTTTGAGTTTTAAATTTTTCTCCCTCTCCCTCCCCAAGACTTAGGCTATATATATACATTCCTGTTAAACATATTTTCACATAAGGATGTAAGGAAGAATTAGAACCAATAGGAGGAACCATCAAAAAGAGGAAACAAAACAAAACAAAAGAAAAAAAATAGCAAATAGTGTGCTTCGATCTCCATTCAAACTCCATAGTTCTTTCTTTGGAAGTGGATAGCATTTTCCATCATGAGACCTTTGGAGATGTCTTTGATCCTTGCATTCTCCTTCTCCTTTGTAAGGAAAAGTCTTCAGTGAGGTTCCTCCCACCAAATGAGGGTATGCATGGAATAGTTAAGAATTCAAGAAAAGGCTTCTCCTTCTTCTGTCTAGTCAAAGGAAAAACTATTAACTAAGACTGACCACAAGAGAGGAGAACTTTGGAGAACACAGTGAAGAAAAAGGCCTAAAGAAACCCAATGGAGCTTGTAAAAGAAAGGTACTCAACTTGATCTGATCCCCCAGAGTAGAGAAGACCTAGAATTTAACCCCTAAGGCCTAAGTAACAAAAATGAATTAAGCAAAAATTAAAATAAAAAAAACTTTTATGAATACAGAGATGACAAAGGCACTAACCAGAAGAGAATGCAAAAACTTCTGTAATCAAAACCACAAAGAAAAAAAAGCTTGCCCACAAGAAAACTTCTAATTTTTTTTTAATTGTGAGTTTAAAGAAAAGTATAAAAGAAATCAGAATTACTGAGACAAGAACTGGGAAAAGGAGCAATAGCTTAATAGCAGAGGTACAAAACTTCAGTAACACACTCTCTAAAAATCAGAATGGACAAAACAGAAATGAATGATTCTACAAGACAACACAATTCGTAAAACAGGGTCAAAAGCAATGTGAAAATGAGAAAATAAAGTGAATGGGAATGGGATGAATTCATCCATAAAATAGAAGTTGGAATGGATTTGGAAAATAAAATTCAACAACATATTGTTTACAAGAAACTTACTTGAAATAGACTCAAAAAGAGTTAAAATAAGGGGTTGGGACAAAATCTATTATGACTCAGCTGAACACAAAATAGCCGGGATAACAATTATGCTATTATGCAATGGCAATCGCCAAAATAGATTTAATTTTAAAAGAGATAAACAGAAAATTCATTTTACTGAAAGGTAACACAATGAATTGATTTCGTACTCAATATACATGTAATCAATAGCACAACATTAAAAACAAAGAAAAAACTAAATGAATTACAAAGAGAAACAAACCATAAAACTATAATAGCAAGGGACTTCAATTTACCCCATCAGCCCTAGATAAAATAACAAAAAATAAGTGAAAAATTAAGAACATGAATAGAATCTTTTGTAAATTAGATATGATAGACCTCTAATGATTATCGAAAGGAAATAGAAATTAGTATTCATATTTCTCAGCTGTGTATGACTGCTTTGCAAAAATTGACCATGACATCATAATAATGTTATATTATAAAGGGCCACTGAAAAAAGTATTAAAAATAAACCATACCACAAAGCTCCATTGAAATATCATTTTGTCCAGAAAGCCTTCCCTTATCCCATTTCTCCCTCTCCCTACTTGGTTATTATCTCTACTTCAAACTTCTCATAATTCTTTGCAGTATAACTCTCTAATGTTATTATCATACAACGTATATTTATAGTTTTTCTGTGTCTGTGTCTTATTTCTCTTTTAGGTTGTGAGTTTCATGAAATTAGGAGCAGTGTCTTAGCTAACAGACCAGAAAGTATTAACGGGATTCCATCTTGTTCTCCCTAGCCTGAAGGTCTCCAGATACCATGTTTCATTTTCTTGTTAGGGTGGCCCTGCTTTGGCTTGTACCCTTCCTCAGCTACTCAGTCAGTAAGTCCAGACCTTCACCCTATGTAACCTCAACCAATCATAAAATTTGATGCAGCTAACTACACCCCACAACAACTCCTTCCCCTTCTTCTGCCCCTCCCCCCCAAACCGTTCTCCCAAAAGTCCTGGTTTCACCTCAGAACTAAAGGGGAGGAGGCAGACAAAGCATGTCTGACAGTGAGACAGTGACACCTAGGGAGATAATGGGCTCAGAGCTGTGGCTGTTGATCTCCCCACAGCTGGGCTATTTCCCCACAAATTCCAGACTATTTCAAGAGCCCTGCCATCCTGAATGAAGGAAGAAATAAACTGCCTGCTCTCTGGAGACCACTATGTGGAAGCAGAGACAAGGATGGGGCTGGAAAAAACCTCTTTCTCTTGGCTGGCTCCCATCTGTGCTCAGATGTTAAGCAAAATATAACCCAACTATTACCTTTCTGTCTCTTTCCCCTTTACTACCTGCAATATTCACACAGCAACATGGATACTTCCCAAATACAGCTTTGCTTGCTATGCACTCTTTTCCCCTAATGCTCAGACTCCTTCAATATCCAGATGCCCTCATGGTGACCCTGCATTTCCTGCGCCTGTATCTGAAATAAAGCTGTCCCTTCTCCTCACCCCCCAGGAAGTCAGGGGAATCCACCCACACGTCTTCCAACATCCATGTCCCCTCCCTCCCCCTCCCCCCCCAGCCCAGAGGTGAACAGGTTCAATACGGAATCTGTCCATACAGTACAACCGTTACTCTTATAAGGTATTGTCTGTGGTACAAATTTACTTCACGGATGGTGCACACTCATAGTAATTTTGTGACTGAAAGTGTAATTATGAAATGGCTTGTGCTTATGCCTTCAGAGCTAAAAGAGCTCCTTTGCCTTGCCCTGGGCAAGGTCCTTCTCTCCAGTGTGGTTCTCTTTTCGTCCTCAAGCCTCAGTCAAAGGAATGCTGGGCAACATTAAGGACCAAGTCAACTACAGGTAAAAAATTGTATTAAAAAAATGATATAATTAAATTTAAATTAAATTAATTTTATGTAATACTTATAGTTTATAAGATTTGTATAATTTATAAACACAATTAAAATAATTGAAAATAATATTAAATCTGGCAAATATTCTACAACAGAATTTTTTTAAAAAACATGACTAAGCAGAAGTAAGGCAGGTGGCAAAACCTCTGTTTTTCTCTTAGTACTTTGGCTCCTGGATACAGCATGCATAATATAAAGCCCCACATTCTCTCTGCTGGATTCTTTAATTATCATGTCTCAAGGTCTCAAATATGGGAAAGGCAGATACAGCAGACACTGTGTGCCACAGATGGTCCTCTCCTTTCCTCATACACTCCCAACAGCTTTTGCAAACTCTGGGCTTAGTGAAAAACCTTCTTCCCTCCCACCTGAGGACTGATCTCACCTTAGCTGTCTTCCCAACCTGGGAAGAGCTACAGCTCCAGGCTCTCTGGCCCACCGGTGTTGGTTAACTTCAAGATGTGATGTATTTACTACAGTGTCAGGGTTATACAGAAATTCACTATCCTGTATTTGACATGTAATTATGTATTTCTACCCCAGAGTCTCTGCACCATACTGGGTGTTATGGTATGAGAAGGGAATTAGAATAACATACTTCATCGACCCTCCCAGTGTCCAACTCATCCTCACCCACAAACCCCAATGCTCTCTATACTTACACTTCTGGGTGCATAAGTACCAAGTCCCAGCACCGGGATGGTATTCCCATCATTCATTGTCACCCTATGAGAGCTGGAAAGAGCCATTTCTTTCACCTCACAGGTCAGGTCAGTTCTGTGCAAAGTCAGAAACCTCTCACGCTGTGGCAAAGACTACTGGACAGAATCGCTGGCTGTTTATATTTATACTCTATTGCTCAATAAAGCTCAGAGGGAGTGGCATGGTTTTCAAGTTGCATAGGGTGGGGTGGGGGAACAGCAAGCCATGATCACCCATCTACAGCTTCCCCAGAAGCATGGCTACATTGAAATGTTAAAGTGAGTAAACAAAGTCTCCATTTGACTTAAATTTGATTGCTATCCCCTTTCTCAGTAGTTATTCCTAAAGAATGGTGGGGGAGTCTGAGTGGGAGGACTGCAGATGGAGGGCTAGAACAGGGAAGAAGTGGTTGGGGAGGGAGAGATCACAGAGAGGGAGCAACATGATGGGAAGGGGGAAAGGAGAAGAAAGCTAAGTTCGTGAGCTGATTTGGCCATATTTGCTCAAGTCGAAACTGTCCCAGCCACCTGCTCATATTTCACTAATTCATCAACCCATACCTGTATTGTTGTGTGGTGTGGGAGACCCATAGCTAGAGTCTGAACTTTTGGAGAAAGCACTATCCAATTGCAGCTGACACAGGCTAAACATAAGATGTGTCAGGCTAGAGGGCAGGTGGTGGGGTGAAGTGTGCATAAATCTAGTCTTTCAAATCCACTTCCTTTAGGAACTTCATTCCCATCCATCCAGATGCCCACTAGCAAGCTGACTGCAACCGGGAATTCATCTTTACAAGGTGAAGTCCGAATAACTCCCCATCTCAACTACCTAAAAGGGACAAAAAATATCCACTTTCTGGAGGTTCTAATAAATTTAGTTGGCTCTGTAAATCTATATCCTCAAAGAGCCTCTAGGCTATGGAAGTCCTGTACTGAGAGCCTCTCAGCATTTCTCCACTGGATCATGCCCCTGGGAACCATCCTTCCAGAGACTCCTCAGGTTTCAGTTTGAACTTCTACAACCATCCTCTTCCTCCACAAGCAATGATGGGATAAGCTTATTATTTTCTTAACACTAGTGGGAGCTTCCCAGTCTTTACCACATCTGCTCTCCTCCATCCTCAGGATTCCAACCCAACAGAATCATAATCCTGGGTGAGAGATCACAGGGTAGTTTACTCAATGGAGCCTGTTAGTATTACTTCAGGAGAGAATCATTCCCTTGAGTGGCCCCTGACTCCATTAGCTACTCTCCCCTTTCATTTTGAGATCTCAGAAAGCCTCTAACTACTGAATCCACTGACTCAGTTGTTTTTAGTCTTGCTATGCTGGAGCCCAGTTTCTGTCAAAAAGCCAACAGCCAGGGAATGTTGGCTTTAGCAATTTCTCTATCCTCCCAGACAGTCTCCTGCTACACCTATTGAGCTAATCCCTCAGGCTGAGTGGGAGCCTGCTCCAGTCCTAGAGAGAACACTCCCCATACCAAATCAAGAGGGCTTTCTGTTCATAGGGAGCCATGCAATGTCCTCCCACCCCCATCTGATTAACCTAGTCTCCTCTTTATTTTCAGGGTTCTTCCCTCATCTCCGTCATGATGTGAGCCACGAGGCTGCCTTCTCTCTTAACCCCACCTGCTAAAACTATGCCAGTGTTGAAGGAGCTGCCTTACAACCAGCACCATTTTGAGGTCCACTTAGGGACAAAATAAGGTAGAATCCAGAAAGTAGAGATGAAGAGGAACAGTATTCCAATCATGCTAGTCACCCTACCAACATATTCCCTTCCCTCCATGACCAAATGACCCTGAAATGTGGCTCTTTACATCCTCAACAGCCTAAAGGTCTTTTGGTCAGTGGGCTTGATTGAGTTCCTGAGTCAATGATAAAGACATAATAACCCTAAGAAACTGGCAGGTAGAGCAGTAAGCCCCACCTGCTCCTCCTTTCCTTTCTCCTGGTAACTAGAATGCTGAGTGCCTGTTGTCAACCTCCAGAGCTCAGTCTAATAAAAGAAAGACAAATACAATTAGGTTGTATGCCTATTTCTCTCCAAGTGGGCAGCATGCAGGCATCCATGCTTGGGAACTGCAGTTGAATTGAGTTCAAAAAAAGGGTGAGTTGAAGGAGATTACATACCCATAGATAAAAGAAGTGTTCCCTCCTCCCTCCTCACCTAACTCAGGATGCCTGTCTTTTCTCAGTCAAAATTAGGTTCCATAGAACAAGAAAGTAGCCCCAGCAAATCTGGTTTCTGTCAACCATAAACAAGGGAATGTCACAAAACAAGAGAGTGTCATAACAAGGTAGTGTCTTAACAAGAGAGGGCCATAAAACAACAAGATAACAAAAGAAATGCCATTAATCAAGATAATGATCCTGTGATAGTGATATAGAGTCCATCTAAACAGGGAAAAGCTCCCAGTTGGCTTAATCCATTCTTGGGGTTGCTGACACAGCAGGAAACTTTGGTATTGCAAAGGATTATTGATAAGGGCTCAGATCATACTCTCCAATTAGCTAGTGCAGGTTTTTGGCCCTCTTCAGGTGATGAGGGGCTCAAGTGAGATCAGTCATCTCTCTTGTGTACAGCTTCTACTGACTCAAGGTTTCCTGTATCACTAATGGATCTCATTGGGCTCTGCCTAAACCAGAAAACACGCCTGAGCCTTCCTCAAACTACCTTGTAAGCTATACTGTAACCTTTCCAACCCATTAAAGGAACAAACCTTATTGAGCTCAAGAAAAAAACAAATCTCTATCAGAGTAAGAACAGCAGTAAGTGCCCAAAGCTAATCTGGGTATAAATTTTAAGGGCCTCCAATTCCTCTTAAGTTTCTTCTCACTCCCACTCCTCCTCCACTCCATCAGCCCAGGTCCAGGCTCCTCACTCCCTTCCCTCAAAGTCTGCTCCAGCTAAATCCAGATGAGAAATCTATACATAAAAATGCATTAGATTTTCCTGGGAATGTGCTGCACCCCACCAGGGGCCCTAACCATTGCATTCACTTTTGAGTATCTCCCCTCAATAAAGCTGCCCTGTTTTTCTGTCTTGTGAGCTCCATGTTTCCTTGTATGGGCTTTCAGGTATCCTTATGGAAATTTTGAAATTGCCTTTTATTATTCAGGACTCAGGGCCATTTCTACTGCAAATTTCATTTAACTAAAAGTGTTTCTCAAAATCAAACTTACCTCACCAAAATTTGCCCTATGGGATGTGAAAATTTACTTGGAGTCTTCAACATTCCTTAGATGAGAAGCCAGAGGAAGTTTCTGAAAAGTACACTAAAAAGTATCTGTACAACTTGGCATTAGGTAGGGGCCAAAATTAAAATGGGCTACACTTTTTCAGGCTGCAGAAGGGTTTTTAGCAGCTCACTTTCCAAGAAAGGTATAATTAATGAAGAAACTATTTTGCAAATAAGCTATATTTTTTAAAAAAAGGAAATTTCGACTAACACCGATTAATTGCACTCATTAAAATTTTTATTTATCGTGAAATCGCTCCTCTCAGGCTAGAGATAGACTGATAATGGTTCATTGCTGGAGGTCATGTGACAAACAGGAGAGAGTGAGCGGTGGCAACTCACCTGCCAAGTTACATGATTGGCACAATAGTGAGCTAAGTGGAGCACAGACAAAGCACTCCTTATGTCTTTACTTTCTTTTACATCCTGTCCATTTTTTGTGGGCTGCCCAAAATCCTTTGGTGGGCTGGAAGCAGCCTGTGGGCCTGATCTAAACTGTCCTTGACTCTTCAGTGACCCAAATCCCTCTGGCTGTCATTGATTGGCCAACAAAAGGTCCCAGGCCTAGTCCCACGTGGTCAGGGTTTTGGCCCTGATTGGTTCAGAGTGAATGTAAACAGTAATCCTTTCTGCTTTGGTCTGAGACCCTGAGGAGTTTCTCCCACATTGGTTGTTGTTGTTGTTGTTGTTGTTTTATGGACTAGGTAAAGAGGCCATCCCCTGCTTCATTTCTTGCCTTGCCTTGATCACTGAATGGGCATTGCCTCAGTCAAACTGAGAACTGTTAAAGACCTTCTATCCAGTTTTAGCCACTAAATGGGTGTTGTCTCAGTGAAACTCTGATCTGTTAAAGACCTTCTAACCTAGCCTTAATCACTGCATGGGTGTTGCCTCAGTCAAACTGACATAAGTTAAAGACCTTCTAACCTAGCCTTAATCACTGAATGGGTGTTGTCTCAGTCAAACTGAGATCTGTTTAAAAAAAAAAAGAACCCTAAACCAGCAGAATCATTGAATGGATATTGCCTCAGAGCTAGTGTTAGTGACTGAATGGGTGTTGCCTCAAACTGAAATATATTAAAGATCTCCTAACCTAGCCTCAATAACTGAGTGGGTGTTGCCTCAAACTGAGACTTGTTAAAGACCTTCTAACCTAGCCTTAATCACTGAATGGGTGTTGTCTCAGTCAAACCGAGATCTGCTAAAAATCTTGGCTAAGGTCTTCCACTACCTCCAGGACCATCTCCAGTCATCCCCATATGTATCTGGCCACTGGACCCAGATGGCTCCAGAGGAGAAAGTGAGGCTGGTGACTGTGCACAGCGCTGCCTCACTTAAATCCAATTCATTTGCTTTTCTTGGCATCACCTCCCTCACCTCATGGTCCTCTGGAGAATAAAGGACAAACAGCAACAGCAACAGCCTCTGGGGTGACATGTAAATTCTCCTCCTGAATCAGGCTGTGAAAGCTCTAATCTGTACCTGACTTAGTTTACCTGGAGAGTTGGTTTGCTGAGGTTTGTTTCCTTAGGGAAGTCATGATGTCATGAGCCTGTTTACCTAAGTTTGTTCAATTTTTATGGCATGGAAGGAAGCATAGGCTTGGATTGAAATTTGTAAAATAATTTTTTCAATGTCACTGCTGTAACTTAACTATAAGAAGTGTGTTTAGAATCCTAATAATTGTTCAGGTATAACCTATGCTTAAGCATAATAATAATAATAATTAAACCTGGGGCTTGTTTTTTTTTTTGAGGCAATTGGGGTTGTGACTTTCCTAGGGTCACACAGCTAGTAAGTGTCTAAAGGCTGGATTTGAATTCAGGTCCTCCTGTCTCCAGGGCCTGACTCTATCCACTGTGCTACCTAGCCTCC